ACTTCTTTCATGTTTTGTCATGTTTGACACTGTTCATGTACATGTGCTTAGGGTAACAAAATGTTCACCAAATAAGCATGTTTATGCTGTATCACAATGAGACACTGGCAAGGGGAGTTTCCATGACGGACCACAATGATGATAGACAATGGAAGGGAGATAAGAGGATTGATGATAAAGTGATTTCAGTAAAACTGTGAAAATATGTTTCTCTTTCTCATCCTGAACTTTATTTTGGATCATCAGACATAATGACGGGGTAGACATAATGTTCTTTTGCATGGCTCTGAATTTAGTTAGGAAAGTTCTTGATTTTAAAGTACTATAGATGTCAAGTGGCTGTAGGATGAAACGCCCAAGAGGTACTTTGAAGTTGGTGAGTGGAATTCTGTCAACTTATTTTACGAGGGTCCTGAATCTCTAAAATTACCTATATAAAATTTCTGTGGTCCACTGGACTTCATGCTAACATTCCAGAATTCATTTCATTCCTGGCTACCTAGAATTATTCTCCATACAGGTGTGGACTGACCCCATTATTGTGTGCTTGCCCTGAATTTTTGAGTCTTTCTCAGTAAATCCAGAATATTGGATTATATGACCTGAGCTGTTCTATACACTGCTTTTCCTCAAAGAACAAATGTTGAAAGCGCATTCTCCTACTGTAGAGCTGATATTTTCTCTGCATATAGAAGTCTTTGCACGTTAAGAAGTGAGGACAACAAGAATTTTCCCACATGGCATACTTCATTTTTTGGCTTCATAGTCATCAAAAGCATAGTTATTCATTCCATATATTTTTACCTATAAATAGAGCAAGCTTGCCAAACATTTAATTGAGCCTAAGCTTTTGAAAGATATTCATGTGATACTGAAAAATTCTAATCAATAGTTTCTGTGTGAATTATAGGGAAATGTATTTATAGTGTTTCTCCAATCTCAGCAATATCTAGTGTTTGAGCCTTGTCTAGCACTCCATGTTAAACTAGTAGTACATTGTATTGATTATACTCCTTAGTTTGAAAC